CTATGTCAGAACTCAGGCAATATGATAAAGAAAACTAAACCTCATGGTTATGGGTATCACGTTACTGCTTGTGGAGGTCAGGGAGGTATTTGTACCTCTGTGTCACTGGTATGGAAAGACTCAGCTTATTTTGAAACTGTAGGAGATGGCTAAGTTAATTGTTAAGATGGGTCATCAGTGTCATCTCACGCAACAGACTTTATGGTTGAGTCCTGTAAGTGTCCTCACCTCACACTTACATCGGTCAATCACATAGGTTACTCAGTGTCACATGAGCAACTCTGTTTGTCCTTATAGCAAAGAACAAATTTTATTACTAAAGTGTTGTATCACAAGTTCTTCTTTTGTATTATTCTGTGCTGAAATAATATACACTGTAGTTGCCCATAATGTTTTGTCATTAAAACAAAAAACATTCAGTGGTTGTACTGAAACAATCAGAAGATAGGTGCATTACATGCTCTTGGATTTAAATCCAGTATATACTGTACAGTAAAATTACACCTGTGAAATTTTGTATTTCTTTAAAAGGGCTTCATTTGTCCAGGAAAAAAGGTCTGTGATTAAATAGTCAGCTGTAAAAAAAGACAAGAAAAATCCTCTCTACATGCCCAAGCATGTACCTTGAAGTATCAAAGCCGTAGCAAACCTTTACCTCTGCAGTTGTCACTACACACAATAATTGGCACAGTTAATTGGCATTTTTATAAGCAGGAGAGGCCTGGCCACAGTGTATGCACCTTCTCTTGCTGATGAAGATCAACATAAAGGAACACGGAATAAGAAATGACAACTTTCATTGCTGGGAGCTAGTCTGGGCAGAGAAACTGAGAATTGTCATTGGATTAACAAAAAATAAATGTCTCAGCTCAGCTAAGAATGTGGTGGACTTCACAGTATCACAGTATGTTAGAGATTGGAAGGGACCTCAAAAGATCATCTAGTCCAATCCCCCTGCCAGAGCAGGAACACCTAGATAAGGTTACACAGGAACGTGTCCAGGCGGGTTTTGAATGTCTCCAGAGAAGGAGACTCCACAACCTCCCTGGGCAGCCTGTTCCAGTGTTCTGTCACCCTCACTGAGAAGAAATTTCTTCTCAAGTTTAAGTGGAACCTCTTGTGTTCCAGTTTGTACCCATTTCCCCTTGTCCTATCATTGTTTGCCACTGAGAAGAGCCTGGCTCCATCCTCGTGACACTCCCCCTTTATATATTTATATACACTAATAAGGTCACCCCTCAGTCTCCTCTTCTCCAAACTATAGAGACCCAGGCACTTGGTAGGTACTCAGTGATCTTAAAGGTTTCCTTCCAATCTAAATGATTCTGATTAATTAAATTGACATATTGATAAACTGATAACAGAAAACATTCCTACAAAACACATTAAAATGCAACAGCTGAGGTATTCATATCCTCTTACTTGTCTCATCTAGAAAATGAAATTAAAGACTATATAATTTGGGGTTTGAAAGACATGATGGTATAAACCAGCGTCCAAATATATCGTATGTTGACCAGCATGGTTAAACAAGGAATTGCTGGGCAAACTCATGTGGAAAAAGAGAATCTATGGATTATGGAAGGTGGGGCTGACCACTTGGGAGGAATATAGGACAGTTGTTAGAGGATATAGGGAGGCAATTAGGACAGCTAAGGCCTCCCTGGAACTTAATCTTGCAAGTCTGGTTTAGGCCAATAGAAAGGGCTTTTTCAAATACACAGCAGATAAAACTAACACAAGAGGCAATGTAGGCCCACTGTTGAACGAGGTGGGTGCCCTGGAGACAGAGGACTTAAAGAAGGCAGAGGTGCTGAATGCCTTCTTTGCCTCTGTCTTTACTCCTGCAGACTCTCCCCGGGGGCCCAAGATCCTTGTAGCCCCAGAAGGAGTCAGGACAAAGGATGAGTTTGCTTTGGTAGATGAGGATTGGGTTAGGGATCAGTTAAGCATTCTGGACATCTATAAATCGATGGGTCCTGATGGAATACACCCATGGGTGCTGAGGGAGCTGGCGGAGGTCATTGCTCGGCCACTCTCCATCATCTTTGGTAAGTCATGGGAAACAGGAGAGGTGCCTGAGGATTGGAGGATGGCAAATGTCACACCAGTCTATAAGAAGGGCAAGAAGGAGGACCTGGGTAATTATAGACCGGTCAGCCTTACCTCCATCCTTGGAAAGGTGATGGAACAACTTATTCTTGACACCACCTCTAGACATATCAAGGATGAGGGGGTCATTAAGAGCAGCCAACATGGTTTTACCAAGGGGAAGTCATGTTTGACCAACCTTATAGCCTTCTATGAGGAAGTAACTAGGTGGATGGATGATGGTAGAGCAGTAGATGTGTTTTTTCTTGATTTCAGTAAGGCATTTGATACTGTCTCCCACAGCATCCTCATAGATAAGCTAAGGAAGTGTGGGCTTGATGATCAGGTAGTGAGGTGGATCAAGAGCTGGTTGAAGGGAAGAAGGCAGAGAGTTGTGGTCAACGGTGCAGAATCTAGCTGGAGGTCTGTGACTAGTGGAGTACCTCAGGGGTCGGTGCTGGGACCAGTGCTGTTTAATATTTTCATCAACGACCTGGATGAGGGAACCGAGTGTACCCTCAGCAAGTTTGCTGATGACACTAAACTGGGAGGAGTGGCTGACACACCAGAAGGCTGTGCTGCCATTCAGCGAGACCTGGATAGGCTGGAGAGTTGGGCAGGGAGAAATTTGATGAAATTCAACAAGGGCAAGTGTAGAGTCTTGCATCTGGGGAAGAACAACCCCATGTACCAGTACAGGTTGGGGGTTGACCTGCTGGAAAGTAGTGAAGGGGAAAGGGACCTGGGGGTCCTGGTGGATAGGAGGATGACCATGAGCCAGCAATGTGCCCTTGTGGCCAAGAAGGCCAATGGCATCCTGGGGTGGTTAGTAGGTCAAGAGAGGTTCTCCTCCCCCTCTATTCTGCCTTGGTGAGGCCGCATCTGGAATATTGTGTCCAGTTCTGGGCCCCTCAGTTCAAGAAGGACAGGGAATTGCTTGAAAGAGTCCAGCGCAGAGCCACAAAGATGATTAAGGGAGTGGAACATCTCCCTTATGAGGAGAGGCTGAGGGAGCTGGGTCTCTTCAGCTTGGAGGAGACTGAGGGGTGACCTCATCAATGTTTACAAATATGTAAAGGGTGAGTGTCAGGATGATGGAGCTAGGTTTTTTTCAGTGATGCCCAGTGACAGGACAAGGGGCAATGGGTGTAAACTGGAGCATAGGAGGTTCCATGTGAACATCAGGAAAAACTTCTTTACTGTGAGAGTGACAGAGCACTGGAACAGGTTGCCCAGGGGGGTTGTGGAGTTTCCTACGTTGGAGATATTCAAGGCGTGCCTGGACAAGTTCCTGTGTGATGTACTCTAGGTTACCCTGCTCTTGCAGGGGGGTTGGACTAGATGATCTTTTGAGGTCCCTTCCAACCCCTGGGATTCTGTGATTTCATTAATTCTGTAGTTGAGAGATTTCTGTAAAACAAGTATATCTGCAGCTTTGCATACAAGCGTACAACTGATTTTAGTGGAGAGAACAGGTTTTAGCCAGAGATGCCAGGCTGCATTTGAACCAGCTTTGTAGTAGTCGAAGCAGAAGGGAGGAAAAAAGAGTATTGGCTTGTTTTGCAGAAAGTTTCCCTGTGTTGAAATATTACTTTGGCTGTAAATCTTTTTGTCTCATACAGGCTTTAGGAAAGCTTGTCAGAGACATGCAGTCTATCAGAAAAACAATCAAATTTCTATGTGAGGTCACACCAGTTCAGCACAAGTAATGTTCCTGGTTTTGTCTATGACTTTGTTTGCATTTCAACATTGTATTTTGTAAGTTCTTCTTTGTGTTCCTGTGGTTTCATGAAAAAGAGGAATGGAAATACAGTAACACAAAGAAAATCCCGTTGTAAAAATAGGCGTACGGGACAAGAAAAGTTTTGGGGTAATAAAGAATCTTAAATGCTTTTTTATGAATTTTTCTAAATAAAAAAGATTACGTGTTTTAGTGGGTCTCTTAGAAAACATTTAAGGGATTGATAGAAATCTTCTGTTACAAAGATTGACATTTTAATAAAGATGGAAAAGGTTTTCATTGTATTTAAGAAATAACCAGCTATGGTCTGCAGGAAACCAAAATGTACAAGTGCTGCCTTTTCTTTTTAGAATTTACAGAAACACTAGAGGGTGGAAATAGTATCCGCAGGTCTTTAATTCAGGTTTTCTCCATTCTGTCTTCCTGATAGCTGACTTACTTACAGGCACATGATTTCACAGATTTTAGTGAAATTAATTGTGGTTGAGTTACAAGGCAGTTATAAATACTCATGTAACTCCCAGCAAAAATACATTAATTTATGCCTTAAATCAGTTTAAACATTTTTGTTTTTAATAAATATACTGAGCAGTCTGAGAAAAAAGGCAAATCATTGTTGTTTATATTAATTTTGTCAACTCAACAGCTCTTGTTCAGGTAACCCAAAGTTCCATGAATATTACTAATTGCTCTGGGTGTGGGAAAGGAGGTCGTCTTCATAATGGCCTTTAAATCTTTTTGAGCACCTGCAGATAGGAAAAAGGGTAAGAGACAGTCATCTTTTTACAAGTCAGCAAAAGATAGCTGCAACCAGCATCAAGAAGAAAAATATAATTAAAGTCAGAAAAAGAACCATCTGCCTACTCCACTTACTGTTCCTTTAATAAATCTAAATAGCTTCATAGGATTTAAATATGATTTATCTTTTTAAGCATCTATTAATTCTAGTTTTGTCTTTTCTGAGTAACTGCAAGAGAGAGTTTTACTAATAACTTTGTATGGTCAGTTCTGAAGTGACTTCTTTTTATTGTTCCTTTTGCTGTTTCTGGAGTTTTTTATGTTATGGATTTAGTATGTTTTTCATTTCCCTACTACAACTCAAGACATTCTTCACATTCGAGTCTTGTTTTTTCCCATAAATACTAAAGAACAGTTTGATTCTTCTACCTTTACTCTTTCTTGGTATAATTTATTCTGTATTATTTTGTGATATCGGGATAACTGCAGACATGGAGGCAATGACAATAGAAATCTTAGCTAATGAACTAGCTTGAGTACAAGCACAATACCATAAGCTTTAAGCAGTTTGATATTTCACATTACATTAATCTCTTATGTAGAAAGGAGTGACTTCAGTCAATGGGTTATGAGGAATTAACATGAATCATTTACTGACAAATTACCAGTGCTCTGATGCATGCAATAAATTGGAAAAAAACCTTGTCACAACATCAACCTGTTTCCCTTAGCAGGATAGTCTGGGGAATGGCTGCGTTGTCCCAGAGGGCTGCATTTGGTCACTGAAAGTACAGTCACTACTGCCTGGGCTGCCCTCTCTCCAAGGCAAAGGCAAATGTCCAACAATGCCCGAGCACGGCCAGTCACTGTGGGGTAAGAGGTAATTGTTTCATAATCCATTCGGGACAACATTTGCTGTGAGCGAAGGACATCAAGGATGTGGTTGAGGCGTCCTTCTGTCATGCAGTTCAGTATGGCCTGTCTCTGGCAGGCTAGTATTTGACAGCAGTTTCCTTTGCGGCAAGGATCTTGAGTGAAAAGGAAACAAAATGAGATAAACTAAGTTCTGTTTTCTTTCTGAAGTTGTTAGCAAGTGATAGCATCAACACCAGAAATATAAACTCAGTAAAGAAGAAGGTATTTTATTGGCATTCTTTGTTCAAATTTAGTCCAATGTGTTTTCATTTTTTGTTTGAAACTCATGAAGATCTGATTACAGAAGATAAATGTTTCTAAAGGTTATTAAGTTAGGTTATTTTGTAAGCGGAGATTTTCAGGTCTTGCGCTATTCATCTAACACTTGTATGAAACGTTATGCAAAATAGTTTTTATTGACATAGATCAGAAAACCTTGTCCTCTAGAGTGGAAGCACAGGTAATAGGTTATTCAGCATAGCAGGACTGTTCAAAACATGTAGCATGAAACTGTAAACTTGAATATATGTCAAAGCTTAACTAGTAACAAAAGTAAATATCTCAGAGCAGCCAAGAGCTTTCAGTTCTGTCTCTTCACAAACCGATTAGAATACTTACTACTAACATTAAGTGGGTTTAGTGTACAGTAAATGCCATACACCAAGAGAAAATTAATAACTGTCTGTTGCCAGTAGAGATCTGTGATGAACTTCTACTGCATGAACTAGTCTGCTGATTTATCCAGAATTTACATTAATTCTGGAAGTAAGTTGAAGTGGAGAAGAACAACCAGCTAGATGTGAGAAACATTATGGGCCATCTTGCCAGAAGTTAGCAAAAAAGCTCACAAAGCTACGAGCAGAGGCAGGTTTCACAAATCAAAAGCCAGACTTTTCTGTTTGTTCAGTAGAAGAACTGAGACGATGTAAGTAAGGAAGTGGATGGTCCCTCTCCTCCTGCTCAGCTATTTAGTTAGTCAGTAGCTACTTCTGTAGAGGTATAAAAAACACAGATTAAAATTAAATAAATAAATAAATCTCAGACATAAGCAGCTAATGTGTTTCACATTCACTGTGTGCTATACTGTTCGTATTTTTATTGTGCTCTTTTCAGAATCAGTGTGAATATGACCCAAACAAGCCAGTGTCCTTGGTGGCCAATGCTTTTGCTTCTGAACATAGGAGCAGCTATACACAGCTATACCTGTGAGACATATGTAGCAGGTTTGGAGGAGTTGTTAGACTAAGTACCTGGAAATGTGCACAGAATTTAGAGAGATCCTTGCCCTCCAAACTTTAAACAATTTAATCATTAAGATCTGACCAAAGAGAATATTGCCACCTCAGACTGAAAATGTATCTTACCTGTAACTGCTTGTTCAAGATGCAAAGGTTGTGCTCTGTGCTTCAGAGCCAGTGCTGGCTTGTTACGCTGACTGCTTTCTTTGCTTGCAGTTGAACCAGGTAAGGGAATTGTGCAAAAGGAATTTGATTTTCTACTGTCAGAGCCTGGGTGATCTAGAGGAAGTTTGAGATGAGTAAGATAAGACCTTTGAATTGAAAAACAGGACATCATACATGTCAGCCACTGTGTAAGAGACTGCAACTGAAGACTAACTTGAGAGCACTTATCTATTACTAGCTGCTCGGTGGGCCCTTCCAAAGAATATTTTGCATATATTGCTACACACATCTGACTTTTTCAAACTGTCTGTAGGAATTAGTTTCTGAAGTTATGGAACATTCTATTCTGCTGGTAAGTCTGGCGGACTATTGATTGGAGCTAACATGCTTGGAAATGCAGATGTTGCTATAAATTAATTGGATTCCTATGGCTCAACTTTTGTGTTACATTAAAGGCATGAGGAGTACTGAAAAAGTTTTTAGGAAACATATCACAGTATCACAGTATGTTAGAGATTGGAAGGGACCTCAAAAGATCTTCTAGTCCAATCCCCCTGCCGGAGCAGGAACACCTAGATAAGGTTACAAGGAACGTGTCCAGGCGGGTTTTGAATGTCCCTACACTGCTCTCTAACAGGTCGTTCCCCAACCTATACTGGAACCTGGGGTTGTTCCTGCCCAGATGCAGGACTCTACACTTTCCCTTGTTATATTTCATCAAGTTACTCCTTGCCCAGATCTCCAGCCTGTCCAGGTCTCGCTGGATGGCAGCACAGCCTTCTGGCGTGTCGGCCACTCCTCCCAGCTTAGTGTCATCAGCAAACTTGCTGAGGGTACACTCAATTCCCTCATCTAAATCATTGATGAATATATTAAATAATACTGGTCCCAGTACCGACCCTTGAAGCACTCCACTAGATACAGGCCTCCAACTAGACTCCGTCCCATAGACTACAACTCTCTGGCTTCTTGATATAAATTTAAACACTTTGATAGGACAAATCCACATTGGAAAGGCAAAGAAAGTTATTCATATAGGAATGGTAATCACCAGGAATCATAGACATGTTTGGATTGGAAAGGACCATGAAGCTTATCTAGTTCCAACCCCCTGCCTCAGGCAGGGACACCTTCCACTAGAACAGGTTGCTTATCCAACACAGTCTTCTTAAAACATATCTTCTTTTTTTACTAGCAAATTAGAAAAAAACGTTTATTGCTTGTAGCACAAGGCAGTGTTGTTCCTAGAAGGGGCTTGTTCTGTAGATATTTATGTGCAAGGGAAAGGCACCTGCATGTTACTGGTCAGGGCTCTAAAAGAAAATTAGCAAAAAAGGCTTTTTGATCTATACACTTAATCAAAAAATATTATGGCATCTCTGATTTTCTGCAGCGAACTCATGCTTCAGATACTACTAACAGAGAGCACAGCTGTAGTATGAGAAGGGACAATTTTACAAGGGAAATAACATTTGTATATGGAACAGTTGCTAATATTCTTAGAATAGCTGGAGCTGAATATGTTTCAAGATAGAGACCATTCTTTGTTGTTGCATTCTGTGGGATAGTGTTCAACAGACCTGTCTCTAGAATATTTTCCCTTCGTGTGTTGTTTGCACCTTTATCAAGTAGAATAGTTGACAAACTTGGCACTATGAAAGGAATTTTCTTGCTGATTAAGTGGGTATTTTTTTGTGGACAGATGACCTGAAAAAGAACAAAATGGAGAATTATATTCTTGGAAGCTTTGTTCCAAAAGCTTTTCTAAGCAGTTTTCTCATGGAGTATAAGGCAGGAGTATCACATTGCAGGGAAGTATGGTTATGCAGCTGTTGAGCCTACAGATGTACTTAATTCAACTTTAGCTAGTTACCTTGGATCACTGTGGCAGCACAGATCCATTAGCTAACTGTCCTAGGGTTTACTGCAGCCATGGTATCACTAGAACTTGACCTGTTTAAAACTAGCTCTGATCCAGGCATGTGAGCATCAGTTCTCTCTCTGCATCTTTTGATATCGGCAGGCCTGCCACAAGTGCCAAAATTGCATTAAAAATTGGAGTTAACTGTGTTTTGGAGTTACCACAAAACAGTTGTCCTTGGTCTAAGAAAACTGGTTGGAAATGCTGGAATTCGGCCTAAGATTTTTTCCAGACATCATTTTGAAAACACTACAAGAAAGGTTAGATTTTTGCAATTTCATTAGGACCTATTCAAGAAGGAGAGGTTCAAAGCAACTCTTAAGTGAACGAAGTTATTTTTGCAAGAGTCAGCTGCTTGGAAGAAGGCAAACAGTGGGGTTTGTTTGTTAACTGGGTGGCGTTATCCTGATTAGAGACAAAAAGGGTTAGGGACATTTTCCCCTGCAGTGTTTGTACTACATGTTGTGAGGGCTGGCATGAAAAACAAGCAGCTTATGAAGTACTCTTGTAAGACTCTCATGCAATATACTTACCTCTGAATTGCATATGCCTGTCTGCAATGTGTATATTTCTGAACCTTTGCAGGCATTAAGTGCTGTCTCCTGGAAGAAAATAGCACAGTAATTCTAGTAAGTATACATATGGTTTGTTCAATTCACAGTTGTCAGGAGCAAGAATTTATACTGACACTAGTGATTTTTACTGACAATATATATTATGGTCTAAGTTACATGGGTATATATAGTAATGGTGGACTGCACAGAGCAATTTTGCATTTTAACACATGTAAGCAGGCACAAAACTCTATCCTGTTACTGTTTCTGCTCTTTCAAATTTGTTACAAAACACTGGTTTTAATCATGCAGGGGAAGGAGAAAATAGCCCTGTACTGAGAAACTGAGAGAGAGAGATTGAACTTGCTGTAACATGTTTTCCTTTAAGCATCCAAACAGCAAGGCCATCTTGTGTTTAGTATGCCAAACTGTCTGCAATGAGGATGTGTCAATACTTGTCACTTTTTTCCATTTTGTACATCTGCAGCAGATTTGTTAAACTACTTTTTAGTTTCTTGTCCTGTTTGCAGCTTGGTTAGAGTTAATTTTCTTCCTGGTAGCTGGTGCAGTGCTGTGTTTTGGCTTTAGTCTGAGAGCAGTGCTGGTAACACACTGATGTTTTAGTTCTTGCTCAGTAGCACTTGCCCTGATCAAGGACTTTTCAATCTCTCATGCTCTGCCTGTGATGAAGGGCACAAGAAGCCAGGAGGAAGCAGAGACAGGACACCTGACCCAAACTAGCCAAAGGGGTATTCCATACCACAGCACATCATGCCCAGTATATAAACTGGGGGAAGTCACCCAGGAGGGACTAACTGCTGCCCAGGTCAGTCTGGGTATCAGCCAGTGGGTGGTGAGCAATTGTATTGTGTTTCACTTGGGTTTATTGTGGTTTTCCTTTCCACTTTTAGTTTATATTCTCTCCCCTTGTTATTTCCCTTATTATTATTAGTAACAGTATATTGTACTTCAGTTATTAAACTGTTCTTATTTCAACCTGTAGGTTTTAAGTTCATTCAGTTCTCCTCCCCTTCCCCCCTGGCTGGGGGAAAGGTGGTGTGAGTGAGCAGCTGTATGGTGCTGAGTTACTGGATGGGTTTAAACCCTGATATTTCTATACTTCAACACTTAGGAATAAATAAATTTTCAGGAATCCCCAAGAGCATTTTCATAATAATTTTGGACATATTATCAGTTCAGTTGTTTGAATAATAAATAACACTCTTTGCTTATTTATCAAATAATAGAAAAACAAAAGCTTGCTCAAGGGAGATGGAAGCAGTAGATTATGGAATATTTGGCAGTAAAAGCCTAAATAAACTTCAACAGTAGCAAAAATGATTTGTACTATAACTGTGCCACCTGTTAAAACATTGATCATCTGTTCTATATCCCAGAATGTGATTGCAACATGTAGAAATAGTCCAGGGTTCATTAACATAAACAACTGTTCATAAGCACAGTGATGAAATCAGTAACACAGTGTGGGTTGTGTAAATCCAGATGGAGTCGTAATACTTGTTCAAGGGCTGAAGCATGTGTCACTAGTTTCCCCACTCTGATTAAGTCAGCTAGATGTGATATAGCTATATTTGTGGCAGTAAGGTTTGTGCCAGATTTCCCATGGCAATGTTGTTGACCATTCCTTGATCATTCCTGTGGTATCAAGGAACCCTCTTAGATCCTAGGACAAACAGTGTCTTGTGCCTAAGCATGTCAGTTTAGAAGCAGTGAAGCATACAGAAAAGTGCTGATACTAGTATTGCTACAACAGGTACAAACACTATCCAGGTTTTGAACTAAATGTCTTCTAACCACCGTATACGACAGAAATTGTCCTTGGTTCTAGCCCTAATCTGCTCTGAGCGAGGCTGATATTTGTTCTCACATGAGTTTACCAGTCTGACTACAGCTGGTGACCAGAAAGAAGCTGGCACTTACCCTGATGAAGTGCCTGATCAAGGGCTGGGATTCTTATTTTTATAATCCCAGGTAGCAATTGATGTGGTTTCTAGAGAACCTCACAATACCTATTTTCTAGCTCCTACAAGTGCCACAGGGCACTTTCCAGCTCGTCTGGAATGCGAATAAAACAATAAAGACAAATTCTGGTTTTGGACTTTGCAGTGGAAAGAATCAAATAATGTTCATGGAGGATGACAAAACTAAATTTTGCACTAACCTTTGCATCCATCAGACTGTAGATTGCAGTGGAAATTGCCTCCTTACTTATACTGGTCAAAATTCCATTTAGAAGGTCTGCACATTCTGCAGGGGTAATAAAGCACTTTGAATGCCACGTTATATTTGAAAGCATGTATGTAGTCATCAGCAGATTGCAACTAACTACTATTATATTGGGTAGCTGGATGAACTAGATGAAATTAGTTTAATACAACTTCCATCTTACATCTCCTCTTCATTCCCTTTTTGACCTGATCTTACAGAACGCTTACAGTCACGTTAAAATCACATTTTCTTGTATGTTCATACAGATGCAGTGAGCATAATTGCTAAGGTTTTACACATGACTATATAAATCTGTCACAAGAAAGCTATATTCAGATCTCTTCCTCAGCACTTCAGCTTCACATCAAAAGTCCTCAAGTATCACAATTTTAACATTTATTGGATATCTTTGAAACATAGCAAACATAAGCTACTAAAGAAAACTATAGCGCAATTAAAAAGGAACTGGTTGTGCACTGGAATCAAGAAATGCTGAAGACAGGTAGATCTTTGTTAAACTAATATATACTGCTAATAATATTCCTTTTTTTATTTGTACTCATTATAACTTTATACAAAATTCTGGAGAAAAGTCAGTTCTGGTAGGAAGCTTCAGTTAGAAAAAACATCTGTAGTACTCTGATGATCTAAAAGACTACTTCTACTTCACTGTCCCTGATTTAGAGTGCTAGAGCAATATTCCCAGCAAGACTATCTCCATCACAGATCTTGCAAAGAAAGCAAATCCTGAATGTTACCGGTAGTACGTGGCCTGTAATCTGGTTCTTGATGCCAGCACAGAGTGATAAGATGCAAAAGTCTATTCCTCTCAGGCAAATTGCTTGGTATAAACTTCTCTGAAATGCCAGGCCGTAAATTACTGCAGATTCCTGTCACAACTTCCAGGAGGGTTGTTTGACCTGCAATTTATAGGAAAACATCACTGCAAAAAATACTAAAAACCTCATAACTCTCAAGATTATATTCAGTATAAATTATTTTGTGTATTTTAAAACAAAGACTGCTTTTTAATAAGCAAAAACATATTAACACTTTTGTAAATAGATATGCTATTTACAAGAGTAAATAACCTTGTAGTAATAATAAATACTACAAATAGTAGTAATAATAAATAGTAGTAATAACCTTTAACTACTTATTGCAACAGGGTGTTTCAGGATAAGGTACTGTCCAAGTAACAAGTTACAAATAAGCATGTAAATATGCATTGTACACTACATGCACAGATACATCAGGATTACTTGTAATTATTATGGCATATCCTCAGCACAGTTTTATGTAAAGCCTTGCACCTGAATTACAACAATATAGCTCATATTGTACAAAAAATAAGATCTACTTTGTGTAGCCACAAGATGGCAGCCACAAGCGGCATGAATATAAAGATTCTCTTGTTCTATGCAGTGTTTCTTAAAGGTCCTCAGCCCGTCCATCAGTTTTGCCATGCAGAACGGAGCCTATAGCAAAGAATACTTTCACTGATCTCTGCCTCCACGAAACAGGGATCATTCCTAGACTGTGACAATTATTACAGCAAACAAGTTCTTTAAAAGGGTTCACACTTTCATCTAGGAAGGTAAGATTCCCTGCTTACTTTGAGAGAATTCAGCATGAACTGGCATTTCTTGATCAGGACTTGAAATCCATGGCAACTTTAAAAAGGAATATTCTGCTCATCTAGGGAGCTGCTTGTCACTAAAACGGTCCTTTCTCACTAAAGGTAAGTGGAAAACCTATCTCAGTAACAGAGTGCTTCAGCAAGCTCAGAGATATGGTAAAACTGGGGTAAGAAGCTATGTCTTTCCCCCTTTCCCCATCAGAAAGATCAGCTGCTTTGGAAACACTGAGGACTTGAGGTATTCTAATCTTTACATCCCGTAACATGGAACTTTGTGCTGTAACAGTAAAAGAAAACAAAGGGACATATGAAAAGACAGTGCTGTTTCTATCATAATTTCCCTAAATGAGGGAATTCTGGAAAAGACAAAGTCTGACATGAACAGTAGAGAGAAATACCTTCAAAAGGTTTCCGTCTGCTTAGGCTCTCCCAGCACAGGATTCCAAAACTAGGGGAGAAAAACCCAAAACAACAAAAAAAGAACAGTGAAAGGGCATCCGTTAGTTTACAATCTGTATTTATATTCCCATTGCCAAGAGCAAGTTCATTGGTTTAAGAGAAAGAGAGTTTTTAAAGATAAAGCCTATCCAAATCTTTCCTAATCTGATGACATCCTTTTTCCTGCGTTTTCAGTTTTTAACTGAGCTGTTCTTATAAAATAATAAATCAGATTTTTTTTTTTAACATAGGGTTAATTAGAATTACATTTCAGGCTACCTCCTGATCTCTATTTGTTCTTGTGAATTTCAAAACCTTCTATTTCCCTTTATCAATTTTGTTTTGAAGTAAGTTAAATAGCAGCTGAAAGAGCTGGATTTTCAGCAGGTACTGACAGACACATCAATTAACCTACCAAAAACTTGATTCTAACCCACTGTGTGTCTGTTTTTTTCAGCAAATTTTGATGGGGATCCAAATACCTTTTTCCTTTCCTGCCATCCTTTGAAGTATTCCAGTGATACCGTAGATCTACACATACAACCCACAAATCAGATTATATGAAATATGGTTGTTTGATAAAAAAGGACCAATCTGCAAAATCAGAGGCAGAAGAACAGAGGCTGCTGGATGAGAGAAGGCAGGCTACAGATGAGTCAGAAGCAAAGCAATCAAAAGGGTAATAGCAGTTCTAGGATAAACATATCTGCTTACTCGTGTATCTTGCTGTAGTGGTGAATTACGGTGTTTAAAAGAACCCCCTCTTGTGCTTTTTTTTCCACATAAAATCTAAATGCACTTTTACTTAAGTAACCTCTAGAATGGTATTAATGTGATATGGACATACACATAACTTACATATACTTAAAACATATGACACGTGTTTTCTCTGTTGCACCACTGTCTAGACATGCACCTATGGCATGCATTGAGTCACATCTGGACATCTAAAATTATATGAGAGTGACATGTTGGAAAATGGATTATGCTACCTGAAAGTAAGGCTCCACTTTTCCTACACACAAATACTGTGTTTAAGAACAACATCAGGTTAGCCACATCATTTATAAGTATCCTCAAGTGTGTGCATTATTTGACTCATCTTAGAGTCTGCCTCTGTGACAACAAAGTAGGAGTTTAAATTTGTTGCTTCTATAAAAGCTCTAAAAGCAGCAGTGTGATCATGCTTAAAAGTTATTTATAATATTGGTCCCTAGACTCTCTGTGCTGGTTGTAGAGATGTATCTCCATACGAACAGCAGTTGCAGTTTGAGCTTGTCTCATTTGTTGAGGCAACCACAGAGCATGTAACATATCTGAAAGGGACATGTGGCAGTAGTTAATCCTTCTTTGTATAAATCACTTTGTTAAAAAGAATGAATGCTTGAGTGGCTCAGTAAGTTACTCCAGCAGAGATTCCATAGGGCCTTAACTGGACATTATTGAGAGAAAGCTCTTACTTTTACTTGGGCCTCATCTAGGTATAAACAGTTCTTCCCGAAACTCAAGCCAACAGTCGTTCATGCTTAGAAAGTATTTGAAGTAGTTAGTAGGTTTCTAACTGTATATGAAAATTTTGGGAGCTATGTTACGCTTGTAAAATTTTTAGGTCCATTGTATAAATATATGATGAACTTTGTACACAGTTCTTAACCTTGGTATATTATTCACCAAGTATGGGGAATTTCACATTTAATTCACTGCTGTAGTTGGCCTAATGTGGAATATAATCCTACTGCATTATTCTTACTGTAGTGTCTTTGAAAATAAGTATTTCTGCAACATTGTAGAATAGCAAGGACTAGGTATGACCTAGAAATGTCATTCACCTGTAAATATCACCTTCCTGGGAAGGAAGGCCTCCTTCAAGGACTTCAGGAGGGAAGTACACTAAATCCTGGCAGGTTCTCTGATTGCAGTTATTCAGGTCTGACCTCAGTTGCTGTTTCCTCCAGCTGATCAGACCATAATCTGATATCTAGAGAGGTAGGAGAAAAAGTAAATTTTAGTAAGCATACCTTAAGCTTTGGTATTAAATGTTGACTATTGGGATAAATATATGCAACAATAGGACAATCCCTGGATTTGATGTGAATAGGCTAAACCCAGAAGCTCCTACCTTGGCTCTGTACTGTGTATCCAAAAGCACATTGGAAGGTTTCAGACTGCAGTGGCAGAAAGCAGGTCCAAGACTGTGAAGGTGATACAGCCCTTCAGCCACATCTGACAGGATCCTGATGAGTAAGGGCAGTGGAAGTTCTGGGTACAGCTGGTGCTAAGTAACACAAAATACAGGGTTTGGTAGTGTGAAATGGTTATTAATCACATATTAATTTGACAATAAATGAAAGTACAATACATAAACTAAAGACAGATTGGCTATGACTACTGTCCATAATTTACATGCTGACTGATCTCTGTTGGCTGACCTTGTAATTAATTTTGTCCCATAAAAGATGCCTTGTTTTGTGTACCTCATGGATGAGCGAGTGGAGGGATCCATTGTTCATCCATTCAGTCACTATCCCCACGAGTCCATGATACTGGTAAATCCCAAGAGGAGGCAGGAGATGTTCAGACTCATAGTATTTGACACTTGCTATATCCTGAAGTAGCAACTTCCACTCCCTGTAAAAAAAGCAAAAGAAGAAGGGCTAGAGGCAGCTTAGACTGAAGGGAATTTCAGCTGCAAATGAGAGTGTAGGGTATGGAAATGAGGGACAAACATATGGCTGAACACAAGTTCTACCAATAAAACATTATATCATCTTCCAAAAACAATCCTAAGAAAATGAAACAATCCCTTGTGTAGTGAAATTTTCTAGTACAATGTGAAAGACCTCTGGATGCTTAATATGAACATCAGAGCACCATTTAAACCAGCACTGAGAGCAAAAGCAGGAGAAAGTTGAATTACATTAAATGCTAGATTAAGAAAAATCGAGTTTTTTTTTTTTCCACCCCCCTTACCGTTCCCAAGAAATTGTATCCTTTTGCTACCGGCAAGATCCACATTTACAAAGAAATTATGATCTTTCATGCTTATGTAATGGGACCACATTCTATAAATGATACATGACGTAGCATGTCATAGCTTAATGTAAAAGGGAAGCCAAATTCAGATCTGATGTAAGCAGTACCACTCTAGTGACTTTGCCAAATCTGATTCAAGCTCAGCTGTGGCTGGATTGTAGACCTGAATTCAAACAGAGTTTATAGAGAAGAGCCAAGATTTGCTTTGCTCATCATGAGATGAATAAAGTTTCATTATCTACAGACCTCAAACAGGTACTTCTTCATGCACAGGAAACCCTGAACTATCAATTCAATTGTGCACTTTCATGGACATGATTAAGGGAGTGGAACACCTCCCTTATGAGGAGAGGCTGAAGGAGCTGGGTCTATTCAGCTTGGAGAGGAGGAGACTGAGGAGTGACCTCATCAGTGTTTACAAATATGTAACGGGTGGGTGTCATGATGATGGAGCTAGGCTTTTTTCAGTGATATCCAGTGATAGGCCAAGGGGCAATGGGTGTAAACTGGAGCATAGAAGGTTCCACGTTAACATCAGGAAGAACTTCTTTACTGTGAGAGTGACAGAGCACTGGAACAGGTTGCCCAGGGGGGTTGTGGAGTCTCCCACATTGGAGATATTCAATGCCCGCCTGGACAAGTTCCTGTGTGATGTACTCTAGGTTACCCTGCTCTTGCAGGGGGGTTGGACCAGATGATCTTTTGAGGTCCCTTCCAACCCTTGGGATTCTGTGAAACTTCTGCTACAGGTTCAGTTTTTGCTAATTGTATGCTTGATTTTAAAGATCTGATTATCTCTACTCTGTGGTGCTTGTAAGCTAAAAATTCATTGAAATGAATTAAAAATTCAGTTGATTTCAACAGACCTGGAGCTTATTCTCATTCTAACCAGCCTTTACACTGAGACTTCAGGCTCATTTTCTCATACATACTGTGCTGATTCACAAGCCTATAAACTAATCAATGGAAGTTTTACAGCCCTGCCTGTTCTAATACTTATTTCCACAAACCTAAATATTTACCATGAGTACACAGTTAAACATTTTGCAGCCAGAGTGAAATACAATTTATTCTCACAGGTTTCCTAAACACTATGTGGTGTAAAGTAGAGATCAAAATGATAGGAAGTGAGAGAAAAGCAAAACAGTGGCTTTAGTTTAAGGGAGCAAGTTTGAGTGAAAAGTTGTCCCACCAGGATAGCATGTTCAAAGCAAAGGAAAATATAACTGTGATTTTAACTATTTTAGATTGGGGTTTGTTTATTTGATTCAAAGAAAATGGGAATAGGGGATAGAGGAACTTTTTTATTCAGACAAGCTACCAAACAAGTAACTTTTGTTCAGATTACAAAATTTCTGGACATCTATTGTCTAAAAAGGAGAGCAATCTTCCCCCAAACACAAAAAAAAAAACAAAACAACCACCCCCAAAAACCCCCAAACCCCCCCAAAAACAACCCTTAATATTTGCATTCCCAAAATCTGGCAGCATTTGGTTTTTGAAGTCTTACTGACAATATAAACTGTTAATTTAAAAATAGTTATATGAAATACCGTTTTTTCTTCCTCTGCCTTTACAGTGGAAAAAAATGAAACAATGTATTTGAGTAGAATACATTTGTATTTTGCCTTTTAAAAAAGCCACCAGAATGGCAGTGCTCTTGCTTAACAAGAATAACTAGTCTGTAGATGCACATCAGACACTCCTTTTTTGTTAAGCAGTCTGGTCAGCCCATTCCCAAAAATGCTTTGGTCTTGCTTCCTCAAAAGTAACTCATGGTTATTCTTGGAAAATTTCTGCAGATTGGAATTTTGTGGTCAGTAGGCTGATGTGTGTTACTTATTTTCATTATTAAGGCATGTGCACATCTCACTGCCCTGTAACCCCAACCATTATCCTTCTCCCATTTCTCTACTCTCTCACCTGTACATGCTGGTTTAGATTCATTTCAACTGAGATCTCTTCAGGGACCACCAGGAAGATACAATACCATAGCATACTGAGTGTTACTGATATTTGTAAAAACCCATAGAGCTTGTTTCTCACTAAAAGTGCCTCTTGGCTAGTCAGGATTTGGCCAGAAAGCTAGCTGTGTCCTGGACTGCATCAAAAGGAGCATGACCAGCATGGCGAAGGAGGTGATCCTGCCCCTCTGCTCTCGCTCTTGTGGGACCCCACCTGGAGTGCTTTGTGCAGTTCTGATGTCCTAACAAAAGAAGGACATGGAGCTATTGGAGCAAGCCCAGAGGAGGCCATGAGGATTATCGGGGAGCTGGAGCACGTCCCATATGAAGTATAGGCTAAGAAAGTTTGAAGTCCCTGGAGAAGAGAAGCTGTGTGGAGACCTCATAGCAGCCTTCCAGTGTCTGAAGGAGGTCTACAAGAATGCCAGAGAGGGACTCTTCATCAGCGACTGTAGTGATAGGACAAGGGGTAACGGGTTCAAACTTGAACAGGGGAAATTTAGGTTATATATAAGGAAGAAGTTCTTTACTGTGAGGGTGGTAAGGCACTGGAACAGGTTGCCCAAGGAAGCTGTGAATGCGCCATCCCTGGCAGTGTTCAAGGCCAGGCTGGACAGAACCTTGGCCAACATGGTCTAGTGTGAAGTGGGCAGGGGGCTGGAACTAGATGATCTTGAGGTCCTTTCCAACCCAAACCATTCTATGATACTGTAATTTCTAGGAATGGAGTTGTGTTTAGGAATTGATGATCCTGGGCATCCACGTTTCATTCTGGTGCCATCACTGCAGGTCTGGGCTGCCCATCTGTGGTTAATTGGCCAAATAAGACACATACCTCTCTGTAGTGTTCTGGCTGGTCAGCAGCTTCAAAGAGATGTGAGTGTTCCAAGAAATATGGAAAGCTTTGAGTGCAAAGCCTGAGCCTGTCCTGGTCAAGGTAAAGCTATCCAAATCTTCATGGGCTACCACAGGTAATGATTTAGCCATTTCTCGATGTCTGGCTTCAGGGAAAAAGTGGCAGGAAATAAAAAAGTTTTAAGAACTGCATTTTGTCACTATCACCAAAGCACAGTGAAGTTGCACTACACCTTACTTCCCAAGTAACTATCACCGTAGTCCAACAGGGTGATTGATCTGTGTCAGACTTTCCTTATAAAGACAGGAAAAATGCCCTAATTGCAAAGGAGTGTCTGGACCTTAACATGCCATCTGAGGCTGCAAGGTGCTAATTAATTGCTCATTATTGTTTCCATCTGATGACTTTGAAATGTTTATAATACAAAATGTGACTTTAAAGTCATACTGAATTATGTAGGCAACAAACTAGTATCTTAGTTACATGCGGACAAATATAGTTTCCCTGCTTATCATAAAAAAGGCAGTTATTCAGTAACTCATCTCAGTGTGTTGTACATCATTCTTGCATATCTTCCTTATTACAACATCACATGTGAACACAAAAGCAAGGTAAAAGGCAGATTTTCTGCTATTGTAACCTGGTGGAATTCTACTACATGGAGTTTTGTCTTTATAGCAGCCACAAATTGGCTGTACTCTCTGTACAGTATCTCTCTAGGGCCATCTGAATGTCTCAGATAGATTGCATGGCAGTACAGTTGGATTAGAGATAACCTCTGCAAAGCACCACTGTGCTACTACACAAGTAACATTTTTTCTTTCTTCTGTGTAGCTTCATTGAAGAAGAGATAACCAAATGTTAGTGGTGAAAGAGGAAAACAAGCAAATTAAGAAAATACTTGGGATAAAACCATTTGTAAGGATTACAGCAAGATCAGTGGTCAGTGAGTCAGAAGAATACTCCCTTCAGGGTCCTGTAGACTAGGACTAGAAAAGGAAACAAATGAGGGAACTGAAGTAACAGGGCCAAAAATTTGAAGTAACCAGTAAGGACTGTTGAGCATGAATTCTGTTCTGAAAGACAAACTCTATAAAAAGAGATCCTGGGATACGGAGGGCCTGAAAGTCTTCTGTCTTTGAGCACATCACTTGTTCTCCATGGGTATAATAGAAACAAAAACCTGAATATAATTTAGCCTATGCTCATGGCTGAACTGTTTCTAGTTTACAATCAACTTATTTTTGGTTAATCTCAGTATCTCAGCTGTGTCATGCAGGCATATTCACAATCAGAGGGGTACTAGATTCAGTTCTGCATCTAGCCACAATCAAAATAAAAAAAAATAAATAAATTCAGCAGCTAATTTACTAGTTCAGCTTTAGCAATATTTGATTCTGATAGGAAAGCACAGTTGAACTTTTTGCTTTTTGTTAGATTATTGTGCTTTCAAACCAATAGCTGCCTTAGGTGCTTCACTGAAAGAATTCCTTAAAGAATAAATCCAATATAGTAGAAGGTTGATGGACAGGTTAAGAGTTACATAAAGTTTCAAAAAATTCCTCTGAATGAAGATAAATTTACAGATGAGCCTTCAAAGTTGCAAAGACAGACCACACAGATCTACTAATCCTAAATATGAAGGAAGTAATCAGATAGCTGTCAGGAGCAGAATTATGTCTCATTTTTATTATATACTATGATAAATCATCATTTAAATAGCCAAATGAATTTACTCAACTCCAGGCATACATGGTACAAGGAAGATCAAGCAATGAGTATAGGATCTAAACCATTCCTGAAATACATGTTTTTAATTAAAATTGTATCAAGTAAAGCTATAATAGTTTTTAAAATTCTTGCTAAGTGGCTACTTGGATAAAAATAAGAGCTAGCCATCAGCTCCTGTTTTGGATTTGAAAAACCTAATTTAACTAGAGATTTTCTAAAAACAAAATGAAAACCATTTCAACCTTTGTCTGTTACAAAGCATGACATACCGAGTACCACTGTCTCTGTGTCTGAGTTTGTACATCTGTTTCCACACCTCAACTTTTCTGATAATCCACACCTCAACTTTTCTGATAATCTCCAAAAGAGTTTAACCCTAAAATGAGAACTATTTTTAATCCAGATAAATGAGAAATTATTTTTATCCAGGGTGCTACCTAAAACAGTAGGAAGGAGTAATCATGGAATATGGGACTATCATGAAACTGCAGTTAACAAAGTCTCTCTCTACCCTCCAGAGTGAAAGGTTGGTACCAAAGCCATCTTTTCCAGTTGTCCTACTCTTCCAAATGCTTTTTCTGCTAGACCCTTTTAGAAACTCACTATCAAACCACAACCCCAGTATTTCTTAGGTGACCTTTGCAGCGAATGGTTTTGTATTGTTTTTTTAGTAAGACACTAAAAGTCTCAGACAGCTTTGTCATTCTCCTGTAGCTGAGCAGGCAGAGGCAGGAGGGAGACTGCTGTAATGCCATTTATTTCAAGTTTCTGATTTAAAGTTTTTTTTTTTTTAAAGTAATTCATAGCAAAGATGTTTTCCTTAAGAGAAACACTACATTCTGTTAATATATAGATGGCTCAGGAAAAGAAATGAGAAGCAAAAATCAACTCACCTCTGGAAATATGGGCATAAAAACAATGGAGCGATGGGGTGAAACTGGTGGAGATACCAAGTGCTAGTCAGCTGTGAACTGTATTCAAACGCAACTAAAGCTTTCCTAACCATGAGTCAGCTGTGCTGTTGATCTCTCCTTTTATTGGCTGCCTGCACACATCTAAAATTTCCTGGTTGGACATACAAACTGTAACTCTTTCGTGACTGCAGATGGGTTTTCATAAACTGAGTTGTTAGCTGCCTGGAATGAATGAATGAGAGATTACAGAAAAATACGTTGGCTAGCTACTTTTTCCACAATGAGGAATGCCAAGAGGGAAAGCTATGTAACAGTGAAAACCACCACGCTGGATACAGTCTGAACACAAAAGTGTGGGTGGGGAGCTGCAAGCAGATTGTGCTGCTGATGCTTATCTCTGCAGTAGATCAAGTCAACAGCACAAGTTTTTAAGTCAAGTTGATCTTAAGACAGGACGAAAGAGCTGTTTTTCTGGTTAGAGGGTAGGTAAGCATAAGGTTGCGAAGAAGTGTCAATTGGCTGTCGAGTAACCCTGCTGCAAAGGATGTAGGGGTTATGGTGGAAGCTGATCATGAGCTAGCAGTGTGTTCTCATCACAAGTGGGGAAAACTGCATACTGGACTATATTAGAAATGCAGTCAGCAGGGTGAGAGAAGCCATTACGCATCAGTACTCAGAAACGGTGTGGCTGCATCTGAAGTACTGAGCATATACCTTACCAGGAGAGGCTGAGGGAGCCATTGTGAGTTACTCAGGAAAAGGAGGCTGTGGGGGTATCCACTAGAAGCCTACAGCTGCTTGAAAATCAGTTATAAAGAACCAGCTTCTAAATAGTGGCTGATAACAACAGTGGCATAGGCAGATGACTCTACTTCAGAGGTTCAAGCCAGATACTAGGAAAAAAAATTACCAGGTGGGTCAGGTACTGATTTCATAGTCTATCCTTTAAAGTTTTCTAGACTCAGCAAGGCAAAGCCATGGCTGACCCAAACCAGCGCTGCAGGTAGTCTTGCTTTGAGCAGGAGGCTCAGCTAAAAAAATGCTAAAAGTCCAGGATATATTTAATTTTGTGAAAGGCCTGAGAGGCTTAAATGTGTTCCTGCTAAGTCTCCAACATGTACTGAAGGTTGATAGGACTGCTGGATGCAGGGTAAAGACTTTAAGAGAAAGCAGTCATTTCAGTCAATCACATCTATTCAAACTTACTGCCCCATGAAGACTGTCTTTATTTATAGAGTATGACTTCAAAGGCTTGTGTAAGTCAGAGAGATTGTCGTCAGACTTCTGTTGGTTTTGGATCGAATTCTAGCCCCTCCAACAGGGAGGGAACAAGCAGTAGGGCAGTTACCTAATCTTCCTATGATCATGGGAAAGTCCCTTATATCTAGAAATCATGTGGCTAGGGCTCTGTGGCCTGAGGGGAAGCACACCACAAGTAGGAAATGTGGAGTATGCGTTCATGTACAATGTGGTGTGTCCTGACAGCTGTAGCTGTGTGACCAGCATCAGCTTTCCCTGACCAGCACAGCCCTCCAAAAGTGAAATTAGTATGAGGGAGCTAAAATAGCAAAGGTAAAACAAGTGGGCTGTAACAGTCCTGGAGAAGGGTAAAAGCATTGTAAAGTTGCTGTGGTCACAGGATCCTCCTCCCTTCAGCTTTGATTTATCAACAACTCATTCATTTGTGTCCATAGCGTACACTTCTGTAAAAAGCACATTAAAAATGTTTTCTTCTGCTTTAAGCCTTAGCCTGTCAGGCTCAGATTGCACTGCAGTAGGATCACAGCTCTTCAAAATCCTTACAACTAATTAAAGAAACGTCTTAGGGGGAGCTTGTAGACAGTTTGAAGGGCTTAATTTTGCAGAAATTATTTGTCACTTAAAGTACTCTTAGGTACTTTTGTATTTTTAGCTATCACTTGATGATGAAGCAGAGTACTAGAAGAATCCTGCGTTTGTTTACTCCTTTTGACTATTGTTTTCAGTTTAAAGACGTATCGGTATAAAACTATAAAGCTTGATTTTAATCCATATTTGGAGAAACCGGAAACATACAGGCCAATCTGTAGTGCAAGTCTGAACTAATTAAACATTGTTATTACTGAACATGTTAATTCAAAAGAATCAGTTAGTGTTTTACCTACACATAAATTATCCAGAGAAATTTAAAGCCTCTCAAATAATATGAGATCTCATGGATAATGGACAAGGAAAAAAACCACTATAAACTCACACAGGTGCTCTCTTTTGCAGTAACTAGTCAAAACTAAGAAAACTAAAGTTTAGCTTGACTGTCAGAAAGGGGTTGTTGGATTTTTTAGTTTGGTGTTTTTTGTTTGTTTGGGTTTTTCTGTTTGTTTTGTTATAGAAAATACTTGGACTGAAACCTTGCCGCAGGAGTAATGGGTAAGACAGACACTGAATCTTTTTAATATCCTGTGCATAGGATTCATCCATTGCCACACAAATACCTAAATACACAGATACTGGAGAAGTACAGACAGCTCTTGCCAAAACCAGTAGCTGCTTGATGCCTACGAACTGTGTGCTATCGTCACAGACGGGGATAGACTAGGGTCTTAACAGAAATACTACTGAGTGCACTTGTGACCATATGCAAGGGGGTGCAAAAATGAATGGGAAGGTAATCTGAAGAGTATTTAAGGTGACCGTTATATGAGTGTTCCTTATTTAGTGAGCAAATCCAGACATCACAGCAGGGTTGGAATTGCACGTAGCAGCAACCCTAACCCTAACCCTAACCCTAACCCTAACCCTAACCCTAACCCTAACCCTAACCCAACTACAACTGCAGGAAGAACTCAGAGACAGTATGGTATTTCTCATATGTACATTTCTTCATGCTAAATGACAGCCCAGGTCTTTCACAGAAGAGCCACAGATCTCAAGAACCCTGAAGATAATTTTTTATTTCATTCAGAAGACAAAACTCTGAACTGCTGAATGACAATGGACAGTAAACCCCCACCATATTTAAACATTCCAAAGCGTCTGAAGGTCTTTTAAAAACTAACCATAACAATGCAAGAACTAAAACATGTGCTTTTTCAATTCAACCTTGGTTTTGTGGCTCACTCACAAGCTAAAAGAGCATATAGGGAACACAAACATGTTCTTAATATCTTAACATCCTGAAAGCAGGAACAATAGTGATGCCTAAAGGATAACATGGTTTAAGACATGAGTAGTTTATAAGTCTCTCCCTCATAATAGTCACAGAGACTGAACCCAGTTACAATCAAATTTAAAACAAAATGGGAGCTTTACAAAAAGCAACATTAAAAGGACTACAGCATAAAACAAAACATTAATAGCGTATGCACAATAAAAGAATGACACAGTACCAGAAGATTGGAGAAGTAAGATGACCCAAATACCAAAGCCTCTGATGCATGTACAGTAAATACTACACTGTGATAATTTCAGAAGAGTTCCCATCATCGTTTCCCAATCTGGTTATTCCAGTTGAGCATCTGTGCAGGGTAACTTTTGGCAAGAGGTAGGTCAGTTCCGAGGTGCAATTTCTTTGGCACATTGTGTTTTTCAGGATATGAATATCAAAATGCTGTTAGGATTCAAATTTGTGGGATTTAAATGCTCTGAATTTCACTTTTATAAAACCTAAGCTAGAGTGCTTGAGTGCAGCCAATGATATAATCATGCTGCTTTAGAAGATTTTCAAACAGGCACAATACTTGCCTGCTATAGTGGGATACTTCAAGATACAAAGTTATGGTGTCCATTTCATGGATTTGCAGTTAAACTAAGGCTTCTTTTCTGTTGAAGAAAATTGGTTCTTCAAACACCCATGCCACGCTATTTTAAAAAATAGTAGTAACATTCACCTTGTCATTAATGAGATGACCAAACTAGAGTATCACAGCTGCTGGCCTTGGGCAGTTTCTCTAAAATAAGCAGTGTCAAGCACCTCTGCTAATTAAATGGTACCACAGAAATTCATTGATTCTTTACCCAGTTGTTTTAAATAGTGGAATCTTAAACAAGTATCACAATTCATAATTCATGTAAATGTGAAAAACAAGATGAAGAACTAGACTGCAGAGACTTTAGTTTATTATACCTCAACTTGTTAAATGGTTTGTAAAAGTGTCCTAGTCTATGTCGCAAGCATTTTGGAACAAGATGTGCTAAACTATTAAAATAGGGTGGAGAAATGCTATATCTCCAGGTCCATCAATTATGTACCTGCAGATAAGTAGTTCCAGTAAACTAATGGTGACATAACAGAGGCCCAGACTGTATGACCTTGCTGTGAACGTATAGCGTAGGTATGTAAGAGAATATAAGCAGGCTTTCAAAGCCTTTACACATACCAAGCAAAACTCAAGCTATTCTAGGCAAAGGAACACAGTAAGCACTTCCTTCTTTCCTAAGGAGAATGATCAGGGGACTGGAGCACCTCCCATATGAAGCCAGGCTGAGAAAGTTGGAGCTGTTCAGCCTGGAGAAGAGAAGGCTGCGTGGAGACCTCATAGCAGCCTTCCAGTATCTGAAAGTGCCCTATAGGGATGCTGGGGATGGACTTTTCATTTGGGACTGTAGTGATAGGACAAGGGGTAATGGGTTAAAACTTAAACAGGGGTAGTTTAGATGGGATATAAGGAGGCAATTCTTTCCTGTAAGGGTGGTGAGGCACTGGAATAGGTTGCCCAGGAAGGTTGTGAATGCTCCATCCCTGGCAGTGTTCAAGGCCAGGTTGGATGAGGCCTTGGGTGATATGGTTTAGTGTGAGATGTCCCTGCCCATGGCAGAGGGGTTGGAACTTGCTGATCTTAAGGTCTTTTCCAACCCTAACTATTCTATGATTCTGTTCTCAGGAGAATGAAACTACAGCCATATTCATCAAACCCCCCAGAGAAGCCCATCCTATAGAGGAGCACAGCACTAACGTATCTACCAACACCACGCTTGCCTCCTGGAAAAATCCAGGAGGCACTTTCCTTCCTGGATTGGAAAGTGGGCAAATATTTAGCTGATTTGTTCTTAAGTGTCCAGTTTTCTCAATGTGACAGTTCTGAAATATGAAAATACACAAGTGAGCACAAATAATCAACAAGAAATTATTATTTTTTAATCAAATCTAAATTCAATGTAGTTTTTCCATTGTGGGGCAGTTTGGGTTGGTTTGCTCTGGGATTTTTTTGGTTTGTGCTGCAACAGTACGTACATTAAAGGCACCTGAAATAAACAGATTGCTGCCAACTTGCTTTTAAGTGTGAGTGTAAGCCATTCTGCTTGTAACCCACTTGTATTTAGTGACATGGAGAAAGAATTGTGAATTGCTGCAATAAACATGGACTTTCAGCCATGTAGGGAAACACTGTGCTTATGGTGAAACTATGCTTGACTAAAATTGACTTCTATTGCATTTATATTCTTTGAATTTGATCATTAACACACTCAACTGGAATTTAGTTCACCACTGCTAGAGGTGAGTACTTCCTTCTCTTCTGTGGAATGCAGCCAATTCAACACAAAGGATGCAAAAAAAGAAGAATTTACCTTGGTTTCACAAGAGTTTTTCCAGCCACAAGGATGATTGCCCTTTGTAGATCAAAGAAGGCTTTGTCAACCTGAGAAATTTTAGCTGGCCTAGAATCTATTAACTCAATGAATGATGCAAAGTGATAACACTTAAAAAAAAAGAGAAAGCAGATCTTTTTATAAAAAAAAAAAAAAACCACACCAAAAAGAACCACAAAAAAAAAAAACAAAAAAACCCAAAACAAACCCTTATGGAACTTCAATCCTACTACAAATTTATTAATAAAATAGTTTTAACAGATACTGCAGTTATCAAGAGGTTAAGTACAAGTTTCAGCTTTCATTTGGAGGCTGCCAAATCAAAACCCTCCTGCACTCTATTTATTACAGACCTAAGAGCTTGTAAGACAGCAAAAAAGAGCACAAGATATTGTTTTTTATTACACATAGTTTCATCAAAAAAATACTAGTTTGAGAAGCTGAATTTCTGAATGCTTGAGCGAGCAACACTGCATACATGCTCCTCAAAGGAGGCCAAGCACTGCAATCTTTAGCTTTGGCTTAGCACTTTCTTTCAGTAATTTTTTAATTAGCTTAATGATTGAAATCGCTATCATTTCTCCTGTGAGAGTGGTGGGAGAACAGGGACAGGCAGGGAGAGGGGCATGTTGGCAGCATCCAAACAGGCTAGGGAACCCAAGTGCTGTCTGTCCTCTGTAGTGTGTTCCTTGTTTTGCTATCTTGCTTGCTTTCTTTGGAAGCCAGCATTTCCTCTGTAACAAAGACGCTTGAGCCAAAACCAGGATACTTAATAGTCACAGAGTTTAAGAAAATATTGCAATAATGCAGCATAATCTTCTTTTGGGACTGGTATTCTGACTTCTTCACTTCTCAATTACCCAACTATCCATTTTAATACAGGCAAATGTACTTAATTGAAAAGTAAACTGTTCTAATAGTATCACCTTAAGTACTTTTTTTCTTTTTTGGTTATTAAAGCTGAAAATAACAGTATGGCATGAATGAAAACAGGCTGTATAGGATGGACTTTGTTTTACTGTGTTCTTTCCAGGAAGTAACAACAAAAGTAAATGACCTTTTGCAAATTCCCCCATTGTACTGTGAGAGAGAAGAAATCCCACCGAGACTTATCCATGTCCTGAGTTGATAAATACACCCACTTCTGCTTGGCTTCAGTAGTACAGTAAAGCGGTAGCAAAACAGACAGCTGTATGGAAAATATGTAAAAGGAAACATTCAGAAATTGTGCAAGAGAAGCTGATGACCACTAACATTTGCAGGCTTAAGGGAAAGCTGTGCCAGCATACATGGATGTCAGATGTAGGCTCAGGTTCATGATTGTGGGGAGTATCTATCATTAAGTAGATTTGCTCAATGGCATGCACACTTTCAGAATGTATTTTCCCCTTTAAAGCAAAATACAATGGCAGACATTTGGCAGTGTGTACACCAAATTTATTGACTCTGATTAACAGGCAATGGTTGTGCTGTCACTCAGAAGCAACTCAACAGGATGAAGGAATGAGAAAACAGGAGTCCTGTGAATTCAAAGAGAAATGCCAAATTCCGCACCCAGGAGAAATGACCCCAGGCACCACTACATGCTGGGGGTGAACCATCTGTAATGCAGCTCTGCAGAAGAGAACTTTGGAGTCCGTAGTAGATAAGCAGCTGAATGTCAGCCAGCATGTGCATTTGTGGCAAAGGAGGACAACAAGCACCCTGGGCTACATTAGGAAGAATGTTCACAGTAGGTCAAAAGAGATCTTGCTCATCACTGGTGAAACCACATCTGAAGTTGCATCCACAGTTTTGGGCTTCCCAGTATAAAACAGACATGGACATACTGGAGTGAGTCTAGCAGAAGGTCAGGAAGATGATCAGATAATTCTGCAGTTGAAGTATCTGACATAGGAGGAGACGCTGGGAGAGTGAATATTGTTTAGCTTTAAGATGAGGCTCAGAGGGATCTTATGTGTGTGTATATAAATGCATGATGAGAGGGGTTAAAGAAGATGGATTAGCTCTTAATGTTGTCCAGTGAGTAGGTAGAAATTAAAATACAGGAAACTGTTTAAACATCAAAGAAAACTGTAAAGTGATTGAACACTGAAACAGGTTCTCCACAGAGGCTGAGGTCTCCATCCTAAAAGATGGTTCAAATGTAGCTGGACATGGTCTTATAAGCATAATTTGATTACAGTCTTTCTGAAAAACACCCCAAAACCCCAAATCCCAAACCTTTTTTTTTGTAAAATAACCGTGAAATGTAGTTCTAAGAAAGGATGTGACATCAAACATTTTCCACTGATTAACATTTTTACTAGCTTTGTACTGTTGAAAAATCAGGAAAAATCTCCACTGGGCCTGTGAACCTCATTTGAATTATTACATGTGGCTTCATCAGATAACTAAAATTAAGGTTATCTAAAGGTTTCCCCATAGTTTTTTTCCCTCCCCACATCATCATGAGATGTCACTGTCAGGGACTCATGTGAGTTTTGTCACTGCTTTTTCTTACTTGTCTGCAGAGAGCAGTTGTTTAACTTTCCTGACCTGCACCTGTAATAGAGTAAAAAGTTATTGGAGCTGCATTGTTAAGTCAGATCAGGCATAGGCACAACAAGCAACTTCACTGCTCCTGTAGCAGTAAAAGTTCAGTTCCTGGTACTTTCAAAAAGTGCCGTTCTCTTGGCAGGGTCACGTTGTAATCCACATGTTACAAGCATACCATAGGTGGAATTAAAAGTGAAAAAGCAGTCAGAAGTTAATAACAATGATAAACAGAAATAATAAGTCCTGCTATTATATGTCACAACTTATTAATAGCAATTCTAAGTAGAACTGAATTCTCAGAATTCACAAAAATTAATGAGCTTCCTAAAGCTTGGTCCACAAGGAACACAACACTACAGCCATCATAGCACATCTCAGTCTGTACCCTTTCTTCAATGTTGTAATAATTGAAAAAGTCTGATCTACATTTTATGCAGGAAGAAGATTCCCAAAGATACTGACTTCTCAACGTTGTTTGAAAATAAGGAGCTTGGTGGAAGAGAGAACAAGCATGAAGATGAGTCAGCAGTACTATAGCAAAAGGTAAGTTCTTATGAGACTCCAACGACTCTGTCATAGGTTCATACTGCAGCTTTAATATACCTGGATTTAAAAAGTTATTAACCACAAGATGCAAGTCTTCAGAAAATCATACTATATTACTCTCAACATATATTCGTTTCTATACATACATGGTATTATATGTATAATATAATGTATTATTATTATATACTATATTAGTTTCAACATGTACTAGTTTCTACATCAATGCGTCTGCTTAAAATTCAAATAAGTTTTTAATTCTATCCATCCCAGCTGTTCTTTGTCTTACCCAGCTTCACATGGGCTTGATTCTACATCTTATGTTCACAAGGAAACAAAAACAAACTGTAAGAGAAAGACCACCATTGTGATTTGTGCTATATTGAGATTATTCTATATCCATTTCAATGTTTGTTTAATCAAAAGAAAGTTACTGTGTTGCTCCTTTTAGTCGATGTTCATGATTGTTGTCATCAGAAAGCTGCAAGAGTGTGCTGCTCTGCAAGGGAAGGTGAGCAGGAGCCACAGGGGACAGAGTGTAGGCAGAGACCATGTCCTTACCAGCAAGGACTACAAATACCCGAGCAAGTGGCACGGAACAGAGCAGACCTGGTAGCCAACATACAAGTTCCAAGCAAAGAAGCAAAACCAAGAGTAGTCCCCCTCTGCAAAATACCAGGCTAAACTCAACCACACCAACAAAACAGTTTAGATAAGAAAGACTAGTGAGGGCCAGAGCTTAAGTGTAGTTCCTGGACCAACAGGCAATCAGCATATGGTTGGAGGTCCCAGATAATGCTTATGAGGAAGAGCAATTAAGGGCTGTTAGTGATCTCAGGACCCTGACAGAAGATAAATTCCAATAGTCATCGCCTATCTTCCCTTATAGGTTAGCCCTTTGAAAGCCTTGAGTTTGTATTAAAGGCTTTAATGGTGGATTTATTAGGCCATAATGGACTTTTAATCTGTAATTGTTCAGTAGGCTTTGTTAGGATCTGTTTCTGTATGTTTAACACTTACCTTAAAAAGAATAATTTTGCTAGTATTGTATGCTATAACGCGACTTTCATGCAGTTGTGATTAGCTATTGGCCAAAGCTACAGAATTTAATATTGTTATCTCTTCTGAAAAAGTCTCTAATTTTAGAGCTCAAGTCTCTTCTCCCTTCTTTTTTTAGTGATTCTCCTCCAAAAATGTGATTTGACAGACTGGTTAATAAGTTCTGTTTCTTTTAGCACAGGGACTGTTTCACAGACATTGCAAGTTTCATGTATCCTTCTAGAGAAAACAGTCATGGTTTACTAAGAGGAACTTCATCAGAAGGTGGAAAGCCATGAAAGAAGTGTCATAGTATGGTTTGGGGTGAAGGGACCTTAAAGATAGTAAGTTTCTCTGAATAGTTCTAATAGGCTTTATATGAGTTAGCTTCTTTCTAAACTAGGACTTAATGCGTTGAAATCTGATAAAGACTTTAGAAGATGAAGGCTTTGTTCTGGTGCATGGTAGTAGGTCTGATCAGTATGTAAAATCACAAAAGTCATGACTAGAATCAGGTTTGACTGAGAATGGAGTTCAGAAAACGCTGCATGTGACAAAAGCTGTCTTCAGGCCTCAGTGATGGTTGGCAGACAGAGAAGGATTACCCCGTTCATAAAGCTTTCTATGCAGTCACACAGTAACCATTCACAAGTGTCTTCTGATTATTACTGGTCTTATAGCAGCAGAAGATAAGTATTTCATGTACAGCATGATATCAATGATACAATGATATCAAACACTTAAAGGTGAATAAAGAAGTTAAATAATAAATTATCCTCGTCATGTAAGAGGCTACATTGGTTTTGTGACACATTACATATCATTTGAAAGGCTGCTGCTCCGTTTTGTCTTCCAATCCTGTGCATACTCAGAAAAATCAGTGTATATGCAGAGTCACAAAGTCAACAATGCTTTGGTTTCATGAGGTCACTTGTGCTAGTTTGGGC